TGCACGCAGGCAGGCGACAGGCTGTAGGCAGGCAGACAGGCGGCAGGCAGGCAGACAGACACGCAGGCAGGCCGACATCCCAACTCGTTTTCGGATTACCCCCCCACGTCCCGAATATCGTGACCGTACGTCGAGCGGTTAAGATTTGTGCCCAACTGTTGACGGACGCTCGGACGCTCGGACGCTCGGACGGACGATCATGCGATTCTACAAGCTGCATCTGACTATGTCAGATGAGCTAAAAATATAGCTTGTATATCAGATGATTGCTAGCGATCACTCTCTAGCCTCCTATGGGCAAACTACTGCATTACATTCACTATTTAGTTTATTATTGCGCAATACACTTCTGTATACACTCAACACCACAGTCAGCAAACCTGTGGTTTGATAAGAAATAATTATATTTAAAATTGCAAAAGAGTAAAACTTTGTTTGAGACTCATTGGCTGCAAAAAACATCTAAAACATTACAACATGCAAACATGCAATTGTTATCAGATTACAGTGGACATTCTTACTTTAATAAATTATTTATGAATGTCATCTATTAGAAAATCCACTGCAATGACGAATCTGTGAAACAATGACACGGACCGACCGATCGATTAAAGGATTGTCGCTAGGCTACCTGGGGCAGGTCCTTTACAAGCTTGGCTTGTCCTGAGGCATCTACCGTGATGACAATGTGGTGATCTGGCGCGACTTGTACGCCTACACTGTCAGCGTGTAGGTCCGTGAAACTCACATCCTTTATCACCATCAGCTGACCCATCACATCCTAGCAATAAAACAATTAAAGTGTTAAATTATACGTCGATCCATTTTTATTCGTCGTTTTTCGCAGTCGATTTTAGTTACAAATTACTTTGTTCGATAACATACGATAGCCTTTTACACATGCGATTACAATAAATAACATGTTCGAATAGCATCTTCTACAAGCAATCGCGGTAATACGTGAATGTTACGTGAACTAGGTTGAACTTACGCTGAGGGCAGTTGGCACAAATTGATCTCCACTTGGAGGCTGCAGACTATATAGATACTTCATCCTTGGTTCGAAGCAGATGAGCCTTCCAGACTGCAGCATCTTACATCTGTGATAAACCAATACCTTAAAGTTATTCATACTGAATTAAATGACAAGGTCACTTTGTTTTTAATCACAAAATTCATCAAACACAATACATTAAAGTTATTAATACTCAATTACATGACAATGTCCCTTTGTTTTTACTCACAAAATTCATCAAATACACTGCATTAAAGTTATTCATAATGAATTACATGACAATGTCACTTTGTAATCACCAAATTCATAGAAAGCATAAGTCCCCTGAATTGCACCTACTAGCTACAAGCAACATGGCGCAAAATACATACTCACGAATGATTCCTTTTCAATATCATGTCACCAATCAAGATGATGTCATAAACGTGAATACGTCATGCTGCACGACATACAACAGACTTAGACGTTCAATTGTTAATTCGATTCAATCAATTTATGTTCCGAATGCGAATCTAATATTAATGAAAATACTGATACCAATCAAATGCATGCGTCTCATCAGTTACCAGAGCGCAGACGCTCTTGTGCTTAGTTTTACGATCACTACTACAGCCCGTCCTGTGCGGCTCACGGCTGCCTTCATGCTGGATGGTATGAGTGCGGCAACTACTTAGATAAATTAACCTTAAATTACAACTCACGTTGTTGACAGTAAAACCCACGATGCCGGAACCTGGGTCTGTAGTTTCACCTTTCCCGTTTCAAGAGAAATGGTTGCTATAGTAACATGCGAACCTTCGACCGTGCCAATAAGATAGAGGTTGTCAAGATCCGTGTAGAAATGCTTGTACACAACGGTGTCTCTGTAAAATAATGCAGAGAGAGCGTATCATCAGCATTTTTTATAAGGAAGTACAGATTTTAGGTTATTCGTGGCAGCATGAACATGCATATACTCTATACATATATACATATACATGTGTAGTATCAAGAACATGTGTGTATCTCATACATATACATAGATAAACATATGTTCATAGTAATATATGTGTCATAATGGCACTAGTTCTTTCATAGATAATGCTATGCATCAACAAACTCCTCAATAGGGGTTAGTTTTCTTTGATCCAGATACACAATACAAAATTTATTGCACCTTTGTTTTACCTGTTAACAGAACTTCCATCCCTTTTGCATAAAAAACAAAACATTTAATTGAAGTTCTCATTGTATAGAAACCTCTGTTGCATCATTTCGCATGTCACACAGCTCATATCTAGCTACATTACGCAAATCATTCATATGATTAAAGATACTAAAACAGTGTAGGAATGCATAAATGCAGTCCTTATTTACTTGTTTGGAACTTCTGCTGTCCATTTTATCTTGCCAGTTGCCAGACCAACAGCGAAGACAGTATCTGACGTCAATACCACCAGTGTTTTCTTCTCGAGCATTAACAGTGATTGTGGGCTGCAAGTGACAATATGTATAATTTATATTTCATAACCTGACGACACACATCAGTGAATAATTTAAAATCATACAACGCACCGTTTTCTAAGTTTAAGAAGTGGTTAAATGCACCATAAAACTAATAATGAAAGTCTAGTACTATAGATATGTTTATAAATGCTCAACAATCACCACCCCCCAGCCCAAATATTACAATAAATGCACCTCTGTGATGATGTGATAGAGACGTGTAATATTCCCTTTTCACCATTACATCCCAGATGATAACATTTTCCTTTGATCCCGAGTACCTACTGCTCACCACCCCTGAATCCACCCACAGAGTGATGTTGATAATGTTCAACAAGTTTTCCTTAAATGCAAGACCGTGAATTAATTCCTCATCGTTGCGCTATGACATACTTATCAGTGGCTGTGGATTTTGAAGCCACAGATTCCCAGTGAAGGACTCCAGTAGCACTGTTCCAGCTCCTGATGATGTTGCCACCACCAGTCAGCGTGACAACATCTTGAACAAAGACCATTGGTCAAGTTCCACTTCTTATTAGGCTTTAACACATGTCAAACAACATAGGGGAATGCCACATCTATCATTCCATTACTGAGGTTTTTTTCTCCAAAAAAGACAGGATTATTTTAGAATGCAGCAGCTGCTTTAAATAAGATTTCCATTAAAGTTAACTTTAAAGATTGTTTTATAATTTACTTCTAGTATAGAGCAGATAAGTATCTATTGGAAGTATATATGTAAAGCTTTGAATTGGCATATAATAAAGTTTGGACACATAAAAGACTCATGGGAGCATAAAAAATCTATCGGACAATCATACATTAAAATTCTACAAATTGGCTTATAAATAATCTTGCCAATTATAGGATTGGACATATTACTAAAGTGCTTGAGAATAAATATTACATACCATTTCCAACATTATACAGGGCATGAACTATTCCCACACTGGTTTTCTCAAAAACATGCCTCCATACTGTAAAATAAAGCTTCCATTAATAATTGTAGTCACTATAATTTTATGAAAACCTAATATAATTTTCTGTAACTACAAGATTTCATCAATGATTAGATGCCAAGATAAAACGATATATACTTACAAATTGCTCCAGTCTTTGAATTTAGTGCTGCTATAACATTTTCTTCTGTAGCAACAACGATTCTCTTGCTACTATGTGTGGAATGGTCAAATAGTGCATATTTTACTTTCCCTATAAGTTTTTGATTCCTGAAAGTGTCAAATAAAGAGCCATTATAAGTTTTGCAATCACCCTGCGTGAAAACTCTGCGAAACCGTGTCGTATTCAAATAACTTTTTTGAAGAACACATACGATTTTCAGGTAAATTTGTGGTGTCATATGATTAAGGGAGAATCATAGACGAAAACAAGGTAAAGTTTCAATATATTTATTCACATATTGATAGAATATTTACAAGTTGAAAACTATGCAAAATCTCCGGTAAAGGGGTATTTTTCGCGCAACAAAATCCGTCCCAAGAATTGTAAAAAAGGGGGTGTATTTGACTTTTCACCCGGAGATTTCTTTAAAAAAGGGGTGTTTATCCTCTCTCTTTATCATCTTGAATATCATAGAAAACTTTATCAAATCCCGGGATCAAATTCCTGAAATTCCTGCTAGTTTTGAAAGCTCATTCAGGATTATTTCATTTTGAAAAGTAAAAATATTGCCCCCTAATTCCCGATTAGGAGCAGTGTTCCGGATTTAAGGGGGTGTCCAAGGCAGGAAAAACCCGCAAAAAGCCCGTGAAAGGGGGGTTCAGAAATTTTGGCAGTCCTGAGATAGGGGGGTGCTTTCAAAGGGAGGGAACAAGCATATGCGTACCCTAAATAACACTGAGTGGAGCTCATAGGGTCTATGTCCCCCAGGGTACTGCCGGAACGTACCCTGGGTACGGTCTGGTATATCGGAACGTACCCTGGTTACTATTTGATATGGTTAGGGTTAGGATTAGGGTTCGGTTAGGGGTTCGGTTAGCGGAGTAGGCGTAGGCGACTCCCTAGACTCGTTAGTGGAGTAGGCGAGGTACGGTCCGGCATATTAGATAGTACCAGGGTACGTTCCGGTATATCGGACCTTACCCAGGGTACGTTCCGGCAGTGTTCCGGCAGTACCCCGGGGGACATAGACCCTCTCAGCCTGAGTGGGGGGTCCGGGACACCGTTACTCGTTAGGCGTTACACGGTCATGCATCATGCCATGGTGCAGATCACAAACTTATACATAATTACAATATTTAATAGGTTTAATATGTTATAGAAACTATTTTTTGGTTGCCACATACTAACCAGTCAAACTTTCCTACTTGGTCAGCATAGAGGGCCAGTGATACATTAACAAAAAACAAAATTATAAGACACTTTACAAAATTCAGTATGCAAGTGGAGGCTGCCATGTTAACTAGACAAGTGGCAGCCTTTCACGGACAAGGATAGACGGGTTCCCTTCTATGTACAGCAAAAAAGGAAGCGGGTTTACAGTAAAGTGAACAGGGAACATGTCTAGTAGAACCAGACTGGCTTTCCATTTAGCGGAGAGTCCGCCGGTGTATGAAAGGAAATTCTCAAGATAACTATTTGCTGCTGCTGAAGTTCGTTTCGATTATCATTAAGAGATTATTGAGGATTTAATAATGGCATTGTGTCATAAAAACGCTCATGTGCCTTTTCATGTGGCTGGGGATTAACGACATCTTCACGTATATTTTGGAATTTTCTCACATTTGGGCGACAGATGGCGGTGAAGTGCACGTGCATCGCCATGTTCATTATTTGTCAACAGTGTTTCATTGCCAACACTTTCAACAGTTCATATTTTCTGTCCTAACAAAGTTTTGCTAATCCAAAATTTGTTACTGGTTTTCCTTATACCGGCAACTTGCATATATGGTGTAATGTAGCGTATGGTGAAAGCGCTCGTAGCCTCTATTCATCTGAGTCGTGACGGATGAGAACTTATTTGAAGCCAATGACTGAGTCAATGACTGAATGAATGTCAGAATGACAATCATCACAATGTCATTGAATCATGAACGTTATGAGACGCCGAAGTAAACCAGAAAAATGACTCCTACTACTACTAGTAGTACTACTAGCAGTAATTATAGTAAAATAAAAAAGTATATTAAACAAGATCGCCTCTTAAAACTTCGACGCCGCGTATTAAAAAAGCGATTGGATCTTTCTCACATTCGATTGAAAGGAGACCAAACACTGCTACATCTAGCAGCTAAGGCATGTGTAGCTCTAGTAGCCTACCATAGCCCGCGTACAGTTGCCACAGGGCTATAGAACATTCTATTACGAATGCTAGGGACCAACTTATTCTCGGTTACTCGCGGCTATAAAACGTCTGTGGTAGGCAATTAATGCCTCTTAATATCTTATCCGAAGTGAATATGTCTTGAGTTATATCAGCTACTAAAATTTAACCTCTAACTTAAACTATCGTTAAAATGGTCTGCTTGCGGTATTTCTCGTGAACGAATGTTATTTAGGAACTTCAAACGGCCATTTTTGGTGGCGCTGTAGCAGCGCCAGTCAGCGGGTTGGTCCCTAGCATTCGTAATAATAATCGAATGTTCTACATCCCTGCGGCAACTGTAAGTGGGTTATAGTAGTTTTTTAGTACTAAAGCTAAGGCATGTGTTATTCCTAATATTGGTTCATTGAAAATCTAATTTAGTATTAGTAATTAATGTAACTGCAGGGATCCTCCAAGCTCTAGCACTAACTTGCAAGTTGCTTGCTCCGGATTTCATTGTAAGAGTAATTGTAATGAAGTGCATGTAAGCCATATATTATTTATATGCTTGTCTATGCAGTGTTTACCCTATCTTGGTTACATAAATAAGTCGCTAAGAATGTGACTGCAGGTACCAATCCTACTGTCTTTCATTAATATTAATTATTGATTGCATGGCAGTGACAGTGTGTAGATAACATAACATAATCATTCTCAGTGTTGAAGGTTGGTGGGGTGGGGGCTCCTCTTTTTAGCTTGTGAGTTCACATGGTCATATTGCAGTATGCCAGTACCTACTGGTTAGATATGTTCCTGGGACTTTTTATGCAAGAAATAGTTAGAAACAGGAAAAATTGTACTGAGCACAGATGTTTCTATGCGTTGATTGAGTGTACATGATTCATGTTGTACTGTGTTCTGTTTGGTCAAAATTGGATAGAATTAGGCCAAGGGGGACTTGTTCTAGTCATTTTTAATCAATCCCAACTAACGGCACCCCCACTTTTAAATTATATTTATACGTACCTTTATTTACAGTCAAAAAGTCGGTACAGTTTGGAGTATCTCCTGGAAGAAGGACTGAATCCATTGCATAGTGATCGCGATGGCAATACCGCTCTCCATCTTGCTGCAGAAGCTGCCTTATCATCATCATCTCCTTGCCAGGGTACTTTCTATGATTGTTCTCATCTCAGTTTGGTACAATTCAATAGGTATCGCAGTGCAATATTAGATGAGCACAATACAAGAATGCCGTATAATACGTGCAAGTCTCTTTCGAGGAACAAATCGGCCAGCGTTAATTGTGCCCTACATGTGTATACAGATGAGAGATTTAGTGGGTTTGCTTCATTTTACTGGATTGTATTTCTAGGTAGTGTGCAATGTATTTGTGATCAACGTGCAGCTATTTGGGCAATGTCAATTAATGCTTACTGGTTTGCATATAAGTTGAATTTACATTTTGAACAGTATACGAAGCAATTGTGAGCCCGCTGGTAACTGCAGCACCGGCTGCACTAAACTATGCAAACTGTGATGGAACCATACCAAAGACCCTACTATGTGCCTTCCGACGCTACGATAGCGAGAAGGTAACGATACATTGTAAATGGGGTATCGAAAGATCACACGTGTATATCATATGCATCATTAATTAAATGTATGACATTGAAAATCGCGATTACCTAATCTAGCCAGCCATACTCGATCATAAAACTGTTGAAGAGTTTAAGCATTGTCTAACCTTGCAGTTACTACAACATCATTATGTTTGTTCAATTTAATTACAGAGGGAATTTGGAATGATAAAGCCTTGTTCTGATAGTGTTTGTATGATGCATGTATAAGAATCGGAAGTGGACCAGAAGTAGCCAGTCGATTAAGGTCTAGCAGTGAAGCGTACAAATAACGCAGTAGAAATTTTTTGAGAATGGCAACCATCCCACTGCGTTCATTTCACGACTAATGAAATTTGGGACATGATAAGAACAAATCTGAGAGAAGAAAATGCACAAAAGAGGCAGATGGTGTCACCGATGATGGTGTACAAATGAGGCATCCATATGAAACTGCAAGATGGGTTTCTGGTTACCTGCTACCTGGTTAATGTTCAACCACCTTACACCTTACCTTTTACTGTCAATGTGTTTGTTTAAATGTTAAAGGAGCAGCCGGGTGTAGATACGTCACCTAATATTGCACACTCCGATGTTGGCTGGACGAAAGCTCGTGACAATGATGCTTGGACACAAAAGCTAGCAGAAGAGCTAGATGATGAGTTCAGTGGATCATGGGGGAGATACAATGAAGGTAATATGTACTACACCGTAAATAGTGGCAAAGACATCTTCATTAGTGATTGAAGTGCACTTACAGTTATGTTCCCAAGATAGCTTTGATATGTAATGAAACAATACATTTTTTAGCTAGTAGTGTATGTATTGTGGGAATGCAGTCGTCGGTGTCTAGCTGCGTCTTTTCTAGAACAGTCAGTGGGTAGCACTATTTATCTTCCTATTCATTCAGGTTTACATGCAGTATGTGTTTAACAAAAATCTGCAAAATATCAGCCATTATCAGGGTACCTAATCGTACAGGCAATGTCCCTGGTCTATGATATCCTTGCAAAATAAAGCATCTTATAACTTTATGTATGTAGCATTCTGATCATACTATGTACTGCCTCTCCCAACATTGATATATAATTAGCTCGCCTTGACATTGTCAAGATGAGCTATTGTCATGGGGTGTCGTCCGTCGTACGTCCGTCCGTCCGTCAACATTTGGCTATGGTCAACGAAAACTCAAGAACCGTTTGACCCACATGTTTCAAATTGCATATAGTTGTTACTCCTATGGGAGAGGTTTGAACGTCCTATTTTGGAGCATGCCAGTTGACCTACATTCGAGCCACGGCCACTTTTTGGCAAAAATGGAAATGGTCACAAGTCAGTTTAGGTTCAATGGGTTTTGCTCATTTCTGGTAGGTGAATGAGGACTGCCCCCAAAACATATCACACGGGTTTTGATATTTTTTTTAAATTATGTAGATTTTGGCAATTTCACTATGCATTTCAATGTCTGCCTACGGTCAAAGATAACTCAAGAACCGTTTTACCCACATGTTTCAAATTGAATACAGTTGTTGCTCCTATGGGAGAGATGACAACGTCCTATTATGTTTATTTCTTTTTAACTGGTCAACAACTCTACAATCATACCTATATACGTGTAATATTGTGTTTTAGATTCTTCGTTACAGTAATTTGACTGGAATATTTTATTGTT